AGCTGATAAATTCCCCTTCACATTCCACTTTCACTCACTGCGTTTTTGTGAGATGTGACATATGTAATAATGTTTTTGAGGGGTCGACTCCTGCAAAGGGAGTTCACTCATTGCAAGTCCAAAACATATCCTAATGCGGGACCACACCACCCAGGCATTTGGTAGGCAGTCAGGTCCCTCAGCATGGTTCCTACGCTATGATCATGTTGTAGGTCTGAGGTCAGCATATTGTTGTGGCATATTCACCGACCTTGCATCAGATTTTGGCGGCCATCGCCAAAAACATCTTCTGAATAGGGTGTTAGTCAGGCATGCAAGGGCACCATTCCAACGGGCAGATCCAGAGTCCATTTAACGATGGTTTCTTCTTTCGCCATGTCCTGTACATGCACGATAGTCGCAATTGCACCCCTTCTTGGCGCAGTTGCTTGTCATTTGAGCATCTGACAATGCTTCCGTACGTGTACTTTGGTCATGAGCCGCCTTAAGTATCTCTGAAGTGATCAAAACCTTGCAAAAAAAACGATATAGGGGCCAACCCTATGCTGATACCCTTTCAAGAAAGCAGCTCAAGGCTTGCATTCCAAATCACTGGAAACCGATACCGATAGGGCCCAACGGGAAATACGCACTGGGGACACGAAGAAGCGGTGTCCGCCATGCACTTAGTTGGTGCGCCATGTCTCAGTTGGTCACGAAATGAGTAGACACCACATAGATTCGACTATGTTGGCTTGTGGTTGTGTTCAAGCTTTTCACTCTGCGTCCCCCATCCCAACACAGCATCCCACAACACTTCCGCATGCGATGCATTTGAGGCATGAGTCATAAGTATGTCTGAACTGATCAAAGCCCAACACGACTGATAGAGGCCAACGGTATACTGATTCCCTTCCAAGATACCACCGGCGCAGCTGCCAAGCGTTCGAGCCAACGATGATGGCCGTGGCCTCCATGGCCATCATCATCTGGGATTTATGGTCAGAGTCCATGCTACTTTGCATGTGACATATTAATTTAGACCATTGTTTTTTTGGGGTCGACTCCCTGCAAGGCTTCTTCTGGCAGGCTGCGATCACCACATTAAACCTCAAGTAAGAAACATCCATGATCCTGCTTTTCCGAATTAGTTCGTAGCCGCTCTTTGCAAGTCAGACTTCAGCCACCAGGCCATATATCATTGCAGTCAGCGGAGCGCCGTAGCCTCAAAACCGACCCCGCGCTGCTCGACCGGCGAGGGCCGGCTGAACCCCGGCAGCTGAAGGCGTCGCGTGCCACGTGCGACACGTGCGTTTGAACGGATGGCAGCGCGGATGGCGCCGATGGCGGCCCAAGGACGATGTGTTTGGTCCGGTTTTCATTGGTCGGTTTGAAGGTTGGATGCCTCGCACGACATCGCATGGTGTTTTCTTTGTTTAGTCTACAAAGCAGCTCCTAGAGGGGTTCTTGGTACTTTGAATGTGCCAGTGACAAGGCTTAAGCCATAGCTGAATAG